TTTCTCTTTTGCAGCCTACGGCTTATAGCAAGTGATTGACAGAAGTTGGGGCATGCGCTAGCATGGATGCAAATCACACTTTTTCATTAGTTTTATATACGGTTTTGCGGCTCATAACGTGATATGGAGCGCAATCGCGGCAAGAGAATTCTCCGCATATTCGGAGAGAAAAGTGGAGGGGCGAAAACAAATTATTTCTTCCTGAATTCCTGTGATTTCGCAATGGAAATGCTCAAGGTCAGAGATTACCATTCTCATTTATGGCAGTTAAAATTAAGGAAATAATCGAGTTATTGTTGGGTAGATTGGGAAGAGCTTGTTTCAATATCTGATGGGAGTGGGCCGTACATGATTAGTTAAATGATCTTAAGCTAGCATGATAACATGGAAATTTGAAGCTTGAGCCAAAGAACAACCGCTTTAGAATAATAGGACATAGTCTCGAGATTAAATGGGAATTGGGCAAGACGACATCGAGGATATATGAATAAATTATATTGCATATATCAATTATATTGGATATTCTAGATGCGGGGGAGGTCTCATTCTGATTCTTGTGCAGATCTACGTAGATGGCTACAAAATCTTAGATTCGGCAGATTCGATATTTTTCGTTCTCATTACGCCGATATCAGATATTTCGATGACGAAAAAATTTTGAATAGATAAGGATATTGATAGATTTGATTTTATCTTCTCTTTTTGATTCTGCTTATTTCAAAATGCTTCTATTTCTTTGATTTTTTTTAATTATAAGAAGAAATTATAAGATTCGAATTCATATTATTGATATTTTCTCGGTTTTAATTTCGAGAATTCTTATATTAGTAATATATTATGATTTTATGATCTTATTTCTAGTGTTTATTTGAATTATTTTAGATAGAAATTGATTAGATGAATATCTATATTTGATATAGATATTTGATTACATTCTTTAAAAAAATATATTAATTTTCTTGAATATACATATTTTTCTTATTTCTGAATAAAAAAAAATTGAATGAAATTATTTTCTGTTTTTCTTTTTTAAAAAAGGATTCGGAATATTCTTGAAAATTCTTTCAATTTGATTCTAAAAAAAATTCAGAGAAAGATGTTAGATATATAAAGAAATCAAAGGAATTATTAAAATAAAAGGAGAAAAATGATCGAAACTAATTTTTTGGATTTTTGAAAATATCTTCTATAAGTAGGGCTGGAGGCGGGTTCTTTCAAAATATCGATTTTTCTTTCTCGGAAAGATTCGAATGGAGGTCTCTATTATTGCCACAACGGAATCGTTGAAAGCAACGAATAATTATTCGAGTTGAATTATATTTATGAATGAATTTTATATAGGATCTAGAATAGATCATAGAGAGATTTGAATAGGAAAGCGCCGGGCAAAAATATGAATATCTATCAATACGAGAATATATATTGGATTTGATTAAGAAATAAACATTGGAGATTAATTAGATCTCTAGGATTTTCATTCTAAAAAATATTAATTCAGATGAAAACGGACGTTGAGGATTTGAGCTGAATGCATATCGAAAAATTAGCTTAAGGCGGCAGGCATTACATGCAGAACGAAATTTGATTTATCTCAAGATATTCATCTAGCAAATATGCCGATTTTTTATTATCATAGATCTTGGTATGATAGGCACGGCAGAGAGCTCCCAGCCCTTCCGCCCTGAGTCTATAGAATTCAAGGCTAATTCCCTATATCTTACGGCAAGATATACGAGCGCAAAAGAAATATGAAATTAATTTCTTCGTGATTTCATGCCTTCTCGAACAGCGGGATTTCTCTAATCTAGATCTGCATTCATTCTTCGGATTGGACGCCGAGACCAAAAATTTACGATTTCTCGAATGGGATAATTGGGAGCGCCTTATTGATTTATTTCGTTCGTATTGCGTTGCTTACGGATTCATTCTCACGAATAATTAAGATTTCAATGAATATTGCAGATACAATATTCAAGATATTCATATCTATCTTTAAAAAATCTCGAATTGAGATATTGGGAGTTTGGCAAATTGCCTCGTTGGCGATGGCTGGAGGGCTCGCAATAATTGCGATCGCCCCAATCTCGTCATATGAGTGGGGGACGAGCGCATATTCCAAGGATCAGATGAAGCGGTTTGAACGAATATCAAGATAGAAATCATCTGGATTCTTGAATGGGAAATGCCCGAATAGATTTCTAAATTTCTCCTGCTCATCGGCAGACGAGATATCCCGTCAATCGGAATATATTGCCGTTGATCGGGAATAATCTTCCAGAAATTGAAAGATAATCGCATTGATGAGATCCCTGATCCGGAGATCAATATGATCGTCATTATCGTAATTCTCTAATGATAATCGATGGATCATTCTAAATTCATAATTATATTGATAATGATCGTTAATTATCATCGTTCTATAGAGGTCAATAGAATACGAATAATTTCCGATCTCAAAGGCGAATGTCGAGATCTTCTATCTGATGAATATGGTCTCAATGAATGAAGGTCGGAATCTTTCAATGGGAAGATCTCTGATCAGAATTTCATTGAAGAATTGATATTGAATTCATAGAATTGAATCGGAATGAGAATCTCGAAAGATCCAATAAAATCTCATTAGCATTGAAAAAAATTGATATGAATATATGATTGGGGAGTGTCGCATAAACGGCCAGGCAGCGGCTGAAAAATTCTATAGGAAAAAGCCCTGAATGGCAATAGAATCGTATTGAATTCACGGAAATCTCGTGCGAGAATAATTGATAATCTCCAATGCCTTTTTTCTATTCAAAGAATAATTAGCGAAGAACGTAGAATGATATATCGAATTGCGAGATATGATCTAGTAGCGCCCAATATATCTATTAATAGAATCAATTATATTCGATATTATCTCGTCGATGAATCAATTCTAGGACGGATTATTTCAATTTCTCGTTCTTCTTATCGAGATCTAAGATAGAATCATTCTCATTCATCTCCTCGTCATCTATGGAAGTCAATCAATCAGGGTGTCGGTCTAATAATCTCTCCGTATTTCGGTCTGTCGTTCTAATATTCTATCGGTCTATCAATCTCATGGTCTATGATAGCTTCTGTCGTACCTCTATCCCTCTAATATTCTCGAAAATCTATCTATCTATCAATTTCTGCCGCTTTCAATCCATCAATATAATTTAAATTAAGATTTATCGATCTAATAGTTTATCATATTTCTTCATAATCTATTTAGGAATGAATTCTTATTATAATAAATCTTTTTTAATTAATTTATAATAGTATCTATTCGATATTGAAAATATTAAGAAATATAAATTTCTTCAAAAATAATCTCAAAATATAATTATCAAGGGATAGATTAGATATTATTGTTAAGCGATATGAATTTTATTAGAAATTAGAATTTGTTATGAAAATTATACTTTCAAGATTTATATATATTTTGAAAATTTATTATTAGAAAATGCTCGTTTTTCGATCATAATTTATTGAATTTATCTATATTTCTATAGAATGAATTATGAGGAATATTTTTGAATTTTAAAGAGAAATTATTTCTGAGATAATTTAATACTAGAAATTTATATATTTCGATTTTTTTTTTAGATATTTTCTTCTGAGAATTAATGATAATAGATCTCATTATAAAGAGCCTACATATTCTGCAATTATTTTTTCTCTATATGAGAAAGGAGATATATTAAAAGAGATTCGTTTCATAGATCATAGATATAATATATTTAATCGTAACTACTCTTGCTAAAGATTTGATCGTATATTATTTTATAAGACAGATAGAGATTCGGTATTCTCTACAACCTTCTCATTTGCGAATATTCGATTCAATTCTTGCTCCTAGGAAATTTCAATCTCGTAGAAGATCCTTTTTTCGAGGATATATTAATTAATATTCGACTTCTCTGGAATATAACGAAGGTAGATATCTAATCTCTAAGAAATAGAGATTGACGTCATCGGCGGGATTATGGACGCTCCAACGGCTCTAAAAGGGCAACGATTGATTGATTGCTATCTATTCGAATAATGGTATTGCCTGCCATTCCGATTCAAAGAATGTGAACCATCTGTCCGCGGAGGAGCTCCAAAATCTTTGAGAATTTTCATCGGCCGTGCCTGTCCACGGAAATTTAAGAACTCTGAAAGAATGGGGAGCGCAACGTATACCAACGACCGAGCCACAGCACAGACGGCCAGGGATAGATAAATGGGGCGAACAGTGTGGGCTGGGAAGGGCGGGCCTGCGACCAAAAGTCTCCGACATTTTTGGTCGTCCCTTTCCCCCCACGACCAAAAATCTCAAAGATTTTCGAGCCTCTATCTAGCTTTTCCGAAAGGACCTTAAAACCTCGGGAATTTTGGAGCCCCTCCGGAGCCTGTAGGAGGCGTGTTGATGGAGAGCCGGAAAAGCTAGGCCCCGCGCGAGCGACATGGCCGCAAGTGGCCGCGCCGATTTATTGAGGTGTGAATGGAAGTATTTCAGATGAGATCAAATTAATACAATATGTAATAGGTCATTGCTCTAGAAGATATCAAGATGGCAAGCTGCAATCTTATTGAGATTCCTTTCCCGCGCAAACTTACGAGTTTTGAAGAGATGAATTTTGTCATTCTGGAATGCCCGATTGGTATCTTTTTAGCATTCAAAATGTTAAAAAGATGAGGGATCCGGCGTTTGCTTCGCAAACTCCAGAATCCAATTGAAACCCATTCATTTCTATCGTGCAGCTCTTTGTCTGCTTCGCGTTTACCACTCCAAGTTATGTTTGACCCCCAGCCTGATATGAGAGACTATCTGGCTGCAAATTCTCGAGAGGGAGGGGTCAGTGAACGCACGGCGAATGAGGGGATTTGATGCAGGGACGTTGCTGAAAAACTTCCGATCGTATTAGATACGAGTACACCTAGATTTTTGTCACCATGTCAGGTGTTCGAGGCACCTAACTTCTCGGCGCCCACACGTTGATCTTCGCTAAAGGTCATTTCCGACCTGGGGCCACTCGCAATGCTGTACCGATTTGTGTTTTGACACAAGTATGTTCTGGGTTCATGTGGAACTGACTATGGTCAAGGATCTGTTTGGCTGCTTCTCCTGCACCACCTCCTTCCGAACGCTGTAAAGCCAGGCAGGCCCTGTGAAGCCCTGCCAGCGTTGCTTCTGCATGATGTCAAAGAGTCTCCCAATGAATGTCGTGGGTTGGGCAAGCTCCACTGAGATTCCATAGGGGTTATATAGGGAGAATGGAAAAGAAAACGGAAACGACTCATAGGGTATATAATACAGTTATATAGGAATACTGCATTGGTTCCAACCATGTTCCTGCTGCCTTCTTGGGCAAGTAAACACACAGTTCAGACTTTGCATGCTTCCGGACCTTCCAGATGTCCAAGCGTCCCGACTGCAAGTCCCATCCCGAGAAGTCCTGTGACATGAGGAACACTGGCACTCTGAATAACAGCAACAGTACTAATCATGATGAGAGATGCAGAGGCAGTCGTTGCAACACACAATATGACAAATCCTGCGACTGATAGCAATCACAAGTACAATATAGGACTGCCAACAAAGCTGCCGAACTGGGATGTGGGATTTGGTGGTAATTTAGGGGACAGTGATGATAAGAATGAGCAACTTGATTTCTTACGTCGTGACTCTACTGGCCCCTTTTTTTCATACTCTTGCAACAGGAGTACAGCAGGTTTGCTGCCCTTGATAAGTGCAGAACCTGAGCGACAAGCGTTCTTCGTCGCAGCTTTCAACATTGTACCTTCCAGTAGTGCTACGCACTACCAATCCTACTGTCACATTCATTGCCCCTCCTGCTCCTAGTACTACCACAACCTGGATTCCTAAAACACCACTACCGCTATCACTACTTGTTCTTTCCTTCCTTCTCCGCGGGGCATTGATACTTATGATACTTACTTCAAGGCACTCCTTGTCCTTTATCATGATTGCTCATGTTGCTCCCAAATATGTGCTTACCGTGATGATTCACATCAAGTCTGCGCTCCACTCCTAACACTAGCCATGAAATAAAACTGAAGTGAAAATCTCGGTCAAGGTCCTTCTTGCAGTTGCTCCTTGGCAAGTCACTCCACCGCATGTTGTGCCTGAAACGTACAGGTCTTGCAGCCTCAGCCAAGAGCCCCGACCCACATGCAAAACAGTGAGAACCAGCAGGTTAGTAAGTATTTTTCTTCGACCCAAAAACTCAGACATCAAACTAAATCAACATACTGCATTGACCTGAGATTAGAATAAGGCCCTTTGGGGGAAATGATCCATTTAGCCACTGGGTTGAGCTCAGGCGAAAACACTGCTATTTGCTCAGACATGTTGTCAGTGCAACTGAAGCCAACACTCAGGTTGGCGCCAGGGAGTGATGTTTCTTTGAGGCAGTGTTGATTTCGACCTCAGAAGAAGCTGGTACGAGAATTTCACTGATTAATCCAATGTCCCGCAGGAACTTCTTGGGATTCTGAAGGGGGTTCTGTGACGGATTCTTTTGACAACCTCAATTTGCTACAATACACATAGAAAGAAAATTCATTTGGGATGCGTTACGGTTTTCGATTTACACCCCCTGTATGTCGACAGAAGCAAGTGATACGCAGAGTACTACCGGCGAACGAAAGCATTGCCTGGACAGCATTCCACATAGAATTCCCAGGGTGCTGCTACTACCAACCTGTCATCTAGCACGTAGACGCGCAATGCCACAGTATACAGACAGAAGGAGGCATGTGATTGTAAAGGCAAATCACTTTGGAAAGCAATCACGCATGGTGGAGACGCCTTCTGCCTCAACCTTTGCAGGCATGTAAATGTTTGCTTGCAAAGTTACAACACATTCTAGGAATATATCATAGTATATTATAATAATGAAAAGCTAGCTAAGAAACAAAGATGCAAACTTGGCTTCTCACATGGGCCATGCTTTTGCCTCAAAGGCGTGATCAAAAGCTTCGGATTCAGCTGCGCGGTATCCCTCCGGCCCTAGGTAAGGGTTGTCATCGTCCTGACTGTCAATATAGCTAGTAAGCAGTGCGACCATGACCACGACTACAACTCCTATTCCAGTCTTGGAAAATCAGCTTTGTGACACGCGGCTTCCCAACAACCATTTGTCCCAAAAGATATGCGATGACCTATACCTACATCGGCAACACCGTGTCATTGTCTTGCAATCATTTATCAAGGAAACAAAACTGCGCAGAATCCGCCTCTCCACCGTTCGCCTTCGGAATCTTTGAGCTCAGAATACTGCTTGACCTTGTCAGAAGCACAATCAGCTTGAAGAGGTTCGTCAGGATATGCGTGGGACCTTTGTGATTTAGGCATCTACGGTGTCAAACGACGTTTGCGGTAGCGAGACTCAGAAACTTCTGGGGAACTTTGGGAGACTGAAACTTACTCCATATCCGTAACTTCCCAAGCCTGAGACAAAGGCCCCTCAAGTAGGAGACCACCATCTTCAGACCCAGCTACTCAGCCCCCAACGTTTCAACTTCTAGGCTCGGGGAAACACTCCTTTAGTCTTTGGGAGTCTGGGATGCCAAAACAGCTTTCATGTTCGCTTTGGCAGTCTGCCTCATCTTGCGCCGTTTGCTTCCCCGCGCTGGCTACCTGACCGGAGGTTGTGCAGTGCCAGTTGTGGTGCTGGTTCATATTCCGATTGCTGCACTCGTACTTGTTGTAGAAATGATGGACGGAAGCATCATGGTAGCAGTAGTAGCAAGTAGTAATAGAAGCACAGCAGTGGTGGTAGTAATAATTAACCTAACCACAAAATGTATTGCTGCTAATTGTAAAAGTCATTGCGTGAGGCGTGCTGCGCAAAACTTGGAAAGCATCAACATGCAAACATCGCTTCCAAGGTTAAGCAACTGGCCAAATGGAACATGCAGCTCTCCATCCACGATTTGTTTTCCAGAACCGACGACAAGCACACGGCAACATGAAAATGGAGGTGGAAGTCTTCAGATGCAAATGCGAGATGACCACTTACGTTTAGGTCTCCACACGACGCACGTGATCTTCGTCCTGATGTGATCCCCATCCAACCAGCAATCACCTCCACGAGCTATGAAAGCATTCATACACCCTTTGCTGACAGGAAGTGCTCTGCAAAAATCTGGAAACATCTACATTAGGGAAACAATCCAGGGGCAAGGATTTTGTGGATAATGCTACGAGGAGTGCCTGGTACCATTCCTGAAGAATTTCGCGCAAGCTCCAAAGCCCGGCAGCGATGTTGAAATTGTCCATGAGCAAGTGCCTGCCACCAAGCCACGCACCAAATCATCAGCAACAGACCCAGCTGGGCATCCGCTCATGCATCGAAGCCATGATTGAAATTTTTTGTCGTACCCGTTTTGTGCTTTTCGGTGAGCATGCATGTTCGACAACAATGCCTTGACAAGTTGTCGCAGTCTACGGGCTTGAATTAATAGCCACTGCGGCCACAGTAGAACGGTGGCATGACTTTATTTTCGGTCACTCAGCGTGGCACTGTGATACGTGTACCTGTCACACATATTGCATGGTTTCTCCGCCGTCCGCTACATTGACTAAAACGATTACGGTTTGGGGACATTCCCTTATCGCAACATTGCTATCTCATTATGTTGTGATCCGGCAACGTGACCCTCAATTTGACTGGATGACAGGCAATGTCTTTGGCGCAGATGGCGAAATTTGCGTGCACAACTGTCCTGTGAAAATAAAACGGGCGAACTGTGCAAACTGATATCCAGCCCGCTACCAACTTCACTGCCCATGACTAAAAAACATCTGGCCTCGATCTGGCCATGTTGGACTTCTGCTGCAGCTTGCGGGCAAAGGTTGCGCTTTCCGAGTTGTGAATATCCTGCGTTGACAAGTCAAATTCTCGGATGAGGTGCAAGCAGTGAACGGGAGCAGCAAGTGTTCCTCGCGGCTTTAGTCGCAATAGTTGGCAATAATAAAACGCACGTGGTAATACAGTGGATGACAAAAAACTTTCATGAAGCCGCTGGCCAAGTATCGTGAGGGCATATTTAATCATCCACGCCATCTGGGTTTCAAGCGTTTTCAATGCTCAGCTGGGCACGAAAACATGCAAGAGTTCGCTCCATCTAAAGGCTTACAATTGGCCGAAAACCGGCTGACATGCAGCCGACAATCAATGCAGGATATTTCCTATTGTTCAAGCTCTTGGGTATTACAAGGTGAGAATATCATGATTCTTGAAGACTCCTGCTTCACAGGTCATCTTCATCGATTAAGATGTCTTGCACATTTCGCGGGCGGCGCATTGCATACGCTGCGGACGCATCCCTGACGAACTTGCACCAGCTTTCTGCGCAATGCGGGATAACCTCCAAGGCACTTTGGACGCGCACATGAGCATCAAACTGTACCACACGGGACTGCATGTGCTGCACGTCCTCACGGGCCACTGGCCCAGCAATATCCCACAGTCCATCTAATGGAGCTGTAATGGCCGCACCACGCTTCCACCGAAAATCGGGGTTGCCATCATGGTGGGCTTGGGACACTCGCACTCGAAAGTGCTGGCCGGCAAAAAGCTTCTTGAATGTCACGGCTGGCACTGTCGGCATCTTTGGCGGCCGGGAAGCAAATTCCGTGGGACAGAGTTCATCCCAATAGATGAACCGCAACTGCCTGTTCGTTGCCAGGGAGCTCAACGCCATGCTGGCGCCCTGCGCAGGGCAGAAGTCGACGGCCTGCGGACCAAAAACATTAACCACGGGGTCCAGAACCAGGCTTTTGCCAGCGTTCGTCACGCCTGCAATCAAGGGGACCCGCGCAGTTTTGCTGGGCCCACAGCATATGGTCAAAGCGATGCTAGCAGCGAGAAACTCATGATCAACAGTGGCACGGTTCCTGCGAAAAAAATCACTAGCCGCCGCCAACCACTTGCAGTTCTCTCCGCAACTGCACAGCTGGCCAGCAAGGCGCTGGACCAATGCCCAATCTGTCTCCATTTCCAGCGCATGCTGCTTTTTTGCATCTCGCCACTGCTCTGCTCCTGCGAGAAGCTCTGGCAAGCGCTTCTGACTCCGAAGACAATACAGCTGGGCTGCTTGGGAGCCATGTTCCTGTACGTAGGCCAAGACGGCGTTGGGCGTCCGAAGCCCCTTGTCCAACACCAAGGCTGTGAAATCCAAAGGCGTGAATTTGACAGCCTTGGTTTTTTTGCCAGACACAGCCGCTTCGCCGGCGGCTGCAGCTTCGGCCTTCTGCCGTCGCTTTATCCAAAGAGAAGCGCTGTAAGGCTGCTGGGCTTCCTCATACAAGTCGACAATGACATTCTGTGTCCCTGGCACCCTGTACTCTTGCACTGCCCCAGGCCCTGTTTGATGAGGTTCCAACACACCGGGCCCTTTCACCCACACAAGTGCCTCCTGGTCCACAACATGTTTGTGTGCGGTAGTGAAGACGCCATACCTGACTGCGCTCCACCACTGCGTGTGTGTGGTGCTCCAGTGTGACGCTAAGCCTGTACGGCGACGCAGCGCTGTTTTGAAAGGCAAGAAGCGGGAGGCGGCGCTCAGCCGCAGAGCTGCATGGAAGTGCCGTGGCTCTTCCAAGAAAACCACCAACTTCAATGCCTCGAGTTTGTTCAACCGGGACCGGCCACCTTGGGGGCTCGCGTCCTGGACAGGGTTGGCCAAAGCATCAAGGACGGCATCTTTAATGTCCACGCGGGAAAAGCCGTCCAAGCTCTTCAGAGGCGTCTGTGCTTCGAGAGTGGTTTCATCCAGGACAGCTGCAAACGTCACCAAGAACACCAGACTCCGAGCCCTGAAATCTTCGTCTGTGAGCCAGTCTGGCTTGAGAGGAAGCCTCTCCCCATCAGGGGAGTCTGAGCTTGCACTCGGCATGGCGCCTTCGCTGTTTTTAGAGGGCGCGGCCTTGATTTGCGCTGCAAAATCAAGCGAAGGCGCCAAAACAAACTTGAAGCTGCGAGTCCATGCAAGCTTCTAGACGTGGCTGCTGAGACAGGGCCGGGGGAGGTTGGATGCCCACTGCCACTCCCCTCCTTTTCTCTCCTCTTGCCTTTCCCATCCTTCCCCTTCTTTGCCCCCACCCTCGGAGTGATCAGTGGGTAAAGGTCAAAGAAGACACGGATGCGGAAATCCGACTACTTCCCAGCCCCCACATTGCCCCTTCAAAGCGGCCACCTTATTCAAGAAGGGGTCTTGGGTCAAAAGTCGCTACAAAACACAATTATACAAGAGCTGCCTACGGTATCTTGAGGCGTCGTAAATATCTTGAGCGCCTTTTCCTTCAGCAGCCCGTATACCTCCAACAAGGTTGCATAAACGAAGAGTTTGCACCGGGAAGGATGATGATTTTCAAGCGCTAAGATATTTTGATGTTGATCAAGTCACAGACCCCAAAAACACAACCCAAGAAACTCCTATCGAACTCCGGAGCAAGTTCCAGATCAGAGCTCCTGAGCCTGTCGTTTCATGGCTTGCACCCAGGCCAGGTCGGCAGCAGTGCTAATCTGAGCGCATCCGCCACAAATGTTACTTGGAGGCCCTTGTGACTCAGTAAGTTTACTGTAGACCCAGTTACGAGCCTCATGACACCTGTTAAGAAGGAGAAGTAGTCAAGTAAGTAAGTAAGTAAGTAAGTAAATAAGTAAGTAAGTAGGTAGGTCAAGAAAGCCTCCAAGCAGTGGTAGGCTCATCATCGTGGTATGATTCCGTGGGATAATCGTACTTTCGGCGCATGTTCTGCGATAATGGACACAGTTTACATCAATGACACACACACACACACACGAAGGCTTGGCAGGGGCTGTGAGGGCTTTCGGTTTACTTTCAGCGTTGGCTCGTCTGCAAAGGGGGCCAACTTTTAGGAGGATTGTCTTCGCCATTTTGATTTTGATGGCGAGGATCATGGTAGCCTGCTTTACCCTGCAACCACCATGAAGACTACTGCTACTGTGCCCTTCTTGTATTTCAAAGTGGCTGACTGATATTATTTCTCCCAGGTGGTTCAACCTCCTCATTGTATCATATCCTACTGTAATGCAGATATTTTTGAAAAGCACACCCTACAAATTGATCAACGGCGATCCCCGTACTCCAATTGTAATAGTAATACCTACATGATCCTTTGCCTAAGTAAGGGGACCCCGATATAGACCCCAATATATTATAGTCCTCATCATAAAGGCCCCCCAAAAAGTACCCCAAATTTTGGGAAACCCCCACATGTCCCTAATTTTCAGACTGGAAAGCTCAGCCCGCAGCTAGGCCGCTCAGCATGTGCCAGAAAATGAGGAGGATGTGGCAAGTACTGCACAGGAGCTTGACCCAGAAGAATAGAGGATTAGAGTTTAGGGATGATATTGGGGTATTCCTGGGATAATTGAAAATAAAATGGAAACTATTATAAAACGGTATATATTGGGGTTGCATCGGGATAATGGAAAAGAAAACGGACTGTTTAGGGTTTAGGGTCAGTATTTTGAACAGACTACAGGTGCGGGGGATGGGTTGTGGAACAGCTGCCATGTAATGAGCATCAAAGGGATTCTGGCTTCTCTTTGCGCAATGGTTTGCGCTGTGTAAAATGCTGAATCCATAAATCTCATGGGCTTGTGGCGTACTGTTGATCAATATACTATAGTGGTTTCCATTTTCTTTTCCATTAATCCCACATAAACCCCAATATACTATAGTAGTTTCCATTTTATTTTCCATTATCCCAATCCATGCATCAATGTCCAACTTTCTCATTTATCACCTTCCCCAGGTAAACCAAACAAAGAAGAATCCTAAGAATCAGGGTTTCCCCCATTACACAGTGGTACTGTATTGGGACTATTTAGTTGTAGGTGGATGAGGCGTTCCAACATTGGGGGAAGAGACTAAGAATCTGGCCACTGACGGCGCGGCCGGCCTCTTGGCTTTCAAGGTTGCGTGGTAGCGGGCATGCAATCCCATCATCTGGCTGTGGCCAAATGCCTCATCTGGTAACTTGCCATCTGGTAACTTGTGGATTGGTTGTCTATTGAGCACCAGGTGTACAGATCCCCTTCTGAAGTTTACCTTTAATGGCCCCTGCTTCTTGAAAACTGCAATGGTTGATAAAAGGGCCATCTGCTAAGAGCAAACATGGGTTATATTGGGATAATCGAAAAGAAAATGGAAACTACTGTAATCTATAGGGGCTATATTAGGGTATATATTGGGGTTGTATTGGGATAATGGAAAATAAAATGGAAACTACCCATGGCTGGTCCACCTTCATAGTCCTTCCGTCTTGCTCCACTGAGGATCGTGCCCGTCCCGCCAAAAGCATGCCCATGCTCACATCCTTGTAGAAAATTTCAACCTGCAATCGCCGTACTGCAGCACAGGGTTTGATCTCACGAAGTTGCCCACAAGAAACTTTTAGTGTTTTTATCAAGACAAAAGAAACACAGCTTACGGCAGGAATCTTCATGGGACCATTTGCTGCACAAGGATGCAGCTTCAGTCAAAAGTGCGCAGCTGCGAAGGCACCCATGACATGTACCAAACTGACTGTGTCCGGAGACTCAAGAACGTCCAGCCATGCAGTCTGAGAATATGGAGACTTGCCAAAATTGGTCCAATTTGGAGATCTCACAAGGACAGGTTCACTTGAAGAGAAATGGATGGCTGAGGACCTTCCCGCAGTTCAAGACCATCATGAACTCTCCTCCATCGCCTTCCGAAATGGCATTCTTGCTTTCCATACTCAACAAGGAGTAGCAGTAGTAGCAGTAGCATTGGTGGTAGTGGCGGTGGTGGTGGTGCTCTCAGCAGCGGGTGGTAGTGCTAGTGCTAGTGGTAGTGCTAGTGCTAATGGTAGTGCTAGTGGCAGTTGTAGTGGTAGTGGTGGTAGTGCCCCTGTTACATAGCGCCGAAAGCTGGCCCTTTGCAGCCCTTGCAGAAGCTCAATGCTGCTTAAGGGCGAGTGGGGGAGTGGATTCTTTTGATAGTCCCTGTATAATCCCCATATATACCCTGGTGATGGTACGTATATTCACTCTCCCACTCCCCCTTCAGCTCAAGTAAGGAGGTGCATTGGTCCTTCTTTCACGATTGTGACCTTGGGAGGCAACCACAGGACTCCAAAGCCAAACAGTTCAGTCATGGCTTCGGGGCACATGCAACAAACATCGTGCGCAAGAACTTCTTTGCCGCACTGCTAACCGGAAGATAATAATGGCAACCAAGGGGCCAACAAGTTCATACGATCAATAAAACATTACAAAGCAATCAACGAAGCCAGGCTAATGATGACGTTAATGAAACAGCAACCTGGTCTAAGTGTCAATCACCATGAAATCATGTTTGGAGCTGCTCAGCGTCTGGCATCAGGCAGGAGAAACCTCCTGTCCAAAAGATGGCAAACCTTGGTCCAGAGTTTAGAGCTTAGGATTTAAGGGCTTATGAGTTTGGAGTTCAGGATTTCGGGGTTCAAGGCCTTCAACTTAAGCATCGCAGATTTGCGGTTGCTCACTTGCCAGTCTGCAAACCTAGCTGCTGTTAGACCTTGCACTTGACACTAGAACATCGCAAGAAAAAGACCTATCTTCAAACTACCATCTGCATTCAATCCCAAAACAATCCCTGCGCCATCCATATTCAGTTCCCAAACAGGCTGCTATTACGTGCAAAAACTGGAAATGATGCGCAGCCAGCCAGCATGCTAAGATACCAGCTGTCAGAATCTGCTGGTTGCTCAAGCCAGAAAAGAAGGGCAGCAAGACCTGAGAGCTGCAGTAACATAGGGATAATGGCAAAGAAAAATTCAAACTACTAGATAAGCATAGGGTATATACCGGGATTATGGTAGGGAATATGGGAAGATAATCCCTGTGTAATCCCCTGTACGTACATCTTTGCCGCTATGTTATGATCTGCGCCATGCATCCTGCTATCCCAAGCGCTGCCCTTGCTATGATCATTGTCACTGGTGTTGTTGCTCCCCATACTGCCAATGACAGCATGAACACACTTTGGCTTCGTCAGGTTCTGAAGTTGTCGGAACCCGAAAACCTCATTTCGGAAACTCCAACCTTCCACAGAAAAGGCCCTCGCCAGGTGGTGGTTCACGCTATCCTCCATGAGGTTGTGCACTAGCTTCTCGAACTTGCCCCGCTCCTTCCAAGTCAAGCAGGTGCTTATTGGTGCTCAAGGAATGCTCATGGCAAGAACAAAGGTGATTATAATGATGAAATGTCATCCAGAAACTAGGCAAAACAGAAGGTGAACTGGTCTACTCATAACCCCACGTGCTGTATGGAAAATTGCAGGTAACTTTTGCCTCATTCAAGATCCTCAGCTGGAGCTGGGGCTGATCCCATAACGGCCGCCTGTGGAAATTCATGCAGCAAGTCGCAGAGCTTCGCCTGTGTGAGGACCCCGACCTGCAGCACACAGCCTATTGGGGATGATGGAAAAGAAAATGGAAACTACTATAGTAATTTGGTGTATATATTGGGGATGATGGAAAAGAAAATGGAAACTACTACAAGTAAACGCAGCGATGTGGAACACTCCAATTGATTTGCGGTTGCCGTCACACTCCTGCACATCCAGCTTTACTCTGTATGACCCTCCACTGCCTTGCAGATCTCATCAGACCAGATCCTCATATCATTTGAAACGTCGTTGATGCCGAAGACTTCCAAAATGCCGAAGACCATCTGACCCGTGGACACAACCATGATTGCATGGTCGTTTCTCAGACAAGACTCTAGGCATACAAAAAGTTCAGCAAGGAGCATTTAAGGTCTCTCACCCCATATTGAAATACTACTTGGGCTGCTCGTTCTAGAGGGGTAATGTGGATATTGAAAGTCAGCGGTACAGGACTTGGTTGCAGCTTCCCTTTTTGGGCATGGTCCTGCTTTGCATTTGGAAGGCGAAGCCCTCGGCATTTCTTCCACGACGAAAAGACACGATTCTGCATCTGGGCCAGATAATGCGAGATCTCTTGCCGATAGCACAGCTGAACATTTACGCGATGCTCGATCAAAAGCCGCACGTGTTTGCGCATCATTCTTTCTGAGGCTGTGCTGCGACAACAGTGTTTGGTGCTGCAAATTCTAAGGCTACCCCCCGCTGCTTGGAGGATGTCACCCTCAATCTTCAGTGGATGTTGATTCCCCGGAGCAGTTGGCACACCCTAATTGTAGCTTCCCTTCCTGGCAGAAGAGGTTGGTTTTGAAACTTGGTAGAGCGGTTGCCTTTTTGAAGGTAAACACAATTTTCCTGGACATGGGGCATACTGTTCCGGGTCTGACTTTGCTCGTTTGCAAGTAAATCCCACGAGCGTGAACACGCATTAATTCATTGTTGCCCTTGGCCTTTGGCGAGATGGTGCCCATGACTGCCTCAAAAGTGTTTCCACAAACAAACACTTCGCACGGCAAGCGAGCAAAAGTTGAGTTCCGTGCACCTTTCTGCAAGTGATGGAAGTGTCCTGCGTTCACGATGCACAAATGGTGGCACGTCATTGCAAGACTTCATGCAGCCGAGCGCTGTCCTTCAAAAACAAAGTACAAATCTGCACCATCTTCCTGCCCAGGACAAGGAGCAAATGGTTTCACGGCAAAGGATTATTCCGGTCCATGAACAATTTAAAAAGGTTGCGAGTAAACTAGTTGCCTCACCGTGTAATCGGTTCACAAAACATCGGTTTTGCGAACTTTTCCTTGAAGGCATTCTCACTTAATGGAACACGTCGCGCGCTTTAATCCAACCCGTCTTCTGCACGCGCAACACAACAGGATTTACTGTGCGAAACTCCAGATTTTACATTACCACTATCATGTATCTTGAGTTGTCATGGGTACAACGCATGAATGCTGGGATACTTATCTGGATGCTGGTGCCGCGCCTTGCCGCTGGACAAAAAAATCTCCTGCGAACATGTCGAATTGGATGGGGCTATAAACATAAACTGCGCGCACGGATTCACAAAGGCAGCTGTCATGTAGCGGGTCCTGGGCAGGGAGCAGTAAACGTGGTTCCAAGACATGTGCAAGCGCTGCCAAAAACCTGCCAATGGCGCGTCGATATTGCACTAGTGTCTATGATGACATGAACAGGAATCGTCATAGTCTCAATGCCTTGACAAACAAGGCAGCAGCACTCTTGGCATGCGCCAGCAAGACATGGCATCGCTGCGAGCTGCTCTTGGAAAGCCTGCACTCATTGTCATACGAACAAATGACAATGTTCATGGGGGAAAACAATACACATGAAAGAACAAATGGTGTCACCAACTAGCACCAATATAAACCACGCAACAAGAACAGCAATCAAAAATTGAATTACATAATCCGCCAGCATGAAGCAAAGCCAATGACCATCAAAAACACAACCGCACTGCCCACATAATTTGAATGCAATTAAAGGTGTTGCGCGTTCGCACTTGTGAAGTCGTTCTGCCCATCGAAGCTTGAAACCCAAAAGATACGATGTTTCCGCCCGAAAACTTACCAATCTGGACCTGAAAATCATTCCCTATGTTTCACCCAAAACATAGTTTCTTCAGCCTCTCCATCTGTTTGAGACTCCGAGAAAGATTTCCACCTCCGCCAAAACATGTGGTTTTCTGGAAGAAGAAATGGCGCCGATGTGTCGGATTTGCAATGTGTTTGCAAGCCTATTGGCAAACCTATTTGCAAAGCTATTTCAAAGGCATTTGCAAAGTCTTGATGAATAAGGAAAACACCCAGGCGTACGAGGACATCAAGCAAGAAACATGAAGCCTTTCTTTTTTTCAAATGCCCGCTCTCTTCTCGGGAG